CAATGTATGACAGACCAATTCCATTTTTCAACTGAAAAACATAGTTTGCTATTACTGTTCAAAATTTTACTAGGTTAGAGAGGGCTGGTCTATAAGTATAAATCAAATTTTATTAATTATAGGCTATTGTGGTATAGAACCCCACTCTTTTCTCTCTTTCCCTCTCATAAACTTATTTTATCAGAATCAGACTAAATATAATCATTTTATTTTTATGCCTCAACTATATGCATTCCTTCAATTAATATGTACTATAATTTTTGTGTGAACCTTTTAGATAAAGGATTTTTGAGATACTTGTATTTTAGAATACCTCTCATCACACAAGATAGCCAGGTGACAAATACTTTAGTTTCCCCCCTCTGTTACTTTCAGAGAACTGGAAAATCTGTTAAAATATAGTTTTGCAGAATTTGGCATTTCTGTTTTTTTTAAATCTAAGATTTCCAAAAAAAATGTGGACACAGCTTGTTTGGTTTGTTTTGTTTCTTAACTTTACTCTAAACACCCATTTCCCCTTCTAGTTAATTATTAGCTAAATCCTTTTGATAAAGTAATGAAAGGTAGTTTCCCCATACTCTTTTTTTTTAAAGCCTCCTTGAGCCCATTTAAAAGATAATTATACATTATAAGGGGAAGTCAGGTAAATTAAACATAAATGGCTGAAAATTTAAATTGAATGGTTATATGCTTGAAAAGAGGAAATTGAAGGATAAGACAAAGTATTTGTGTGGGCGGGTGTGTTGATTCATGTGTGTGTGTGTGTGTGTGTGTGTGTGTGTTATAGATTGTGTGCCTTTAGTAGGTTTTATAAATGCCCACAATATAAACATCAGTTAGACTTGTGGTAAGACAAAAGAAGCTCATCTCTTGTGAATACTTTTATGTGAAATAAATTTATGAGGCTATTCAATTCTCTCTCTCTTTCTCTCCCCCGCCCTCTGTGTGTGTTTGTGTGTGTGCCAGTGCATGCTTAAAAGTCAATCTTAAGTTTATGGTACCAATTTGATTCTTCTGTCAAAGATCATGCTGTTTGCTGAATTCCAACACTCCCATTCACAAAGGAAAAATAAAATTCTTACTTGCTTGCCATTTTATATCTTATTGAAAATTTTCTGATTGCTTAAGTTGGTTCAACTTTCCCCTTCTTCCTTTTTCCCCTAAATAATTCCCTGGCCTAAAGAAATATTTAGGTGCAGGTTTTAATCCCTTCATTTATCTCCTACCACCTTCCAGCAGCACTTTTCCTGGTGCTTTCTAAAGTTGAATTTTGCTAAAGCAAAAAAGACAGGAAAGAATGAAGAGGAAACAGGAGGGGTGTGTGTCAGGAACATAGGGCACCTTTTCAGCAAAACACAAGCTACATACTTCTGTAAACAAATACTGTTAATCTTTATTAATTCTTCACATACATGCCTTAAATGGGTCAAGATAAATTTTCTGAGCTTAAAGAAAGCCTGTCAGTATCTTCTAACAATAACAGGGCAAAGCTGGCTCATATATTATTTTCCAATAATAAAAATATTAGTTGAAAAATATTTGCCCACTATAAAAGTTTGCCAGGGGACCTAAGAATAAGGTCCCTTATATTTTTATAGTAATCAGAGGGGGAAGGAAGAGGAAAATTATTAGATTTAGAAGAGAAGAAAATGGGGGTGGGGGTAGGCTAGGCATTAAAATAAATATTCTCAACTACCTATGGTGTGAGATAGTATCTGAGATTGGGTCTATAGAAATCAAATAAATAAATAGATACATAGATAGATAAATAAATAGATAGATAAATAGATAGATAAACAACAACCAACCAAATAAATAGCAATTATTCTGGCCCCAAATATTGATTACTGAAAACTGATATCTGCCCACTACTACAATATACACCCAACCTAAAACATACAGCAGGCTTTCAGGTCATTTTCAGGTATTGATTTATTCTTTTTAAGAGCTGTAAAATCAAAATTTACATGTGTTACAGTGAAATCAGTTATTATTTCCTCCCACATTTGGAGAATAAATTATTAGTGCAGGACAAATCAATCAGTGGGTTAACTATTGAGTTTACCTATTTTCAGATTTAAAGTTTCAAATTTTTTGTGTCATTCAAAATCTTCCATCTGAATTGCCAAGTTTGAATAGTGGAACTTTTCTGCAATACACAAACAGGTTTGAAAAAGAATAGGCCTTTTCTGTTGTAAATAATATACATTAAATTATCTTTAATGTATTATATATTTCAATTTTAGCTATTTTCTGTTCTCTAAGCTATCCTTTACCAGACCAATGCCCCTTCATCCACATCCACCCATCCACAATGTGCATTTCCAGTACCAATTCTTAAAAGTTCAGAAAGTAGCACATTTACTCACTTAACTAACCAAAAAACCCATTTGGCGATTCTTACCGATCTATGAGATTTCCCTGTTATTAAGCTGGGATCAGAAGTATTGTGTGGATTTGAAATTAATTAGGGAGTGGGGGGTTGCTCAGGTCCGCTTTTTAAATTTTCTTCTGCCCAATTTTCTCCGTTTTTACCTATCAGTAAAACAGATTAACTTAAAGTTAGGATGTACTCAGAACATAAAGGATAAAGGGGAAAGAATCAGCAGGAACACAAATCAAAGACCAGGGTTTTGTGTGTGTGTGTGTGTGTGTGTGTGTGTGTGTGTGTGTGTGTGTGTGTGTG